TTCCGATCTATACCCATACCTTTCCCATCTCTTTCTCCACAGAAACCCTAACATTTGCAATGAATTCATACACAAAGATGCTGGTTTGTTTTCAGTAGAAAGAAATGAACATATTGATGTTTGCGCAGTGCATAATGAGACAGCAGTAATAGGATATAATATTAGCAATATTCATATTGTTACATCTATCACCATTTACTATTAAAATATGAGGTGGTGGAGCTAAAGTACAAGAAGGTTTTCCATTTTTGTTAAAAAACCTCAGGTTGATCCTATATGCTTGGCAATGCCCTTTTAATCAGATAGATTGTAAACTCTTTAGACTTAGCTAATTGTTGATATAATTATACTCTTAATACCAATGATAGCCCAACATCATCATCATCATCATCATCATCATCATCATCATTATCATTATCATAATTATTCATTGCTTAACAATTATCATAATTACCATCATCAACAACATTGCCTTCCTTATACCAGCCTTAGGAACGTAACCCCTTAGAAAAAATCCTATTTTAGCACTTAAATATCAATCTACCAAGTTATTCTTAGACTCTGAAAATCACCATATTGACCAACACTGGCAAATCGTAAAGATTTGCCTTCTTTTAATCATGCTAGATTTTCATACTTGACTTTAAAGAAATGTATTTACAGTCTATTTCTAAACGCAGTACTTGTTTCTCCTGCCTGCAGGCAATGATGTGAGCCTAAAATATACCTCCAGATGTTATGCCTCCGAATTCTCTCTGTATACAGTGTGAGCCCTTAACTACTGTATGCGCTGATACATAACAGTCATTATGTAAATTCCAGACACGGCTACTGAAAATAGTTTTTACAAGGATCATAAACTGAAACTATAATTCTAGGTGCTTCCATTACAACAGATTGCAACTGTAATCAGATTTTTATCATTTTACTGTGATATTCAAAATGGTTTCTTACAGTGTACAAGTCTTTAATATCATAATGGAAAAAAAACATCCACATTTTCATCACATCTCTCTCTCTCTCTCTCTCTCTCTCTCTCTATATATATATATATACACATACATATATAGAGCTATTTATGTAATCACTATATCTATCTGTCTGTCTATCTATCTATCTGTCGGTCTGTCTGTCTGTCTGTCTTTCTATCTGTCTGTCTGTCTGTCTTTTCGATATATCTATCTATCTATCTATCTGTCTGTCTGTCTGTCTATCTATCTGTCGGTCTGTTTGTCTGTCTATCTGTCTGTCTATCTGTCTGTCTGTCTTTCTATCTATCTGTCTGTCTGTCTGTCTGTCTATCTATCTGTCTATCTGTCTGTCGGTCTGTCTGTCTGTCAGTCTGTCTAGATATTTTTACATTGTAGATGCATTCATGTAGGTATATTTATGCATTCTTACAGCATGTTTTATTTCCACAAATGTTGTCTCTAAAGGTTTCATAGAAATAAGGTTTCAGGAGTGTAAATGCCCACATTATAAACAAGCCTCAATGTAATTCCTGGGGATTTCAGGAGAGGTGAAAGAGGTCACCCTTTATGTACCGGTGTTTGGGATACAAGGTATAAAGCCACATGCTTTCAATCATTTTACAGTGAATCAGTGCATCACATCACCTGACCACCTGGTATTCATACACACATTTTTTCAGTTTAAGAAGTCTTGTCTTGTTGGTGTCAAACTCCAAGGGGTCCTGTGTTAAAGATTGACAGTGAACTCTGCCCTGTACCTCTATATATCTTTCTAACTGCAACTACCAACTAGAGGTTGCAAAATATTTATGGATTTGTGCCATTCAGGGACATAGAAATGATTCATCGAGATGACATTATTTAACTCCATGTCACCTGTGTCTATCATGCCTAGCACTCGGCATTTCTGGTGGTTCGACATTGTGTTTACAGTTTTGACCTTGGCTCTTTCTCTCATCCATTCAGTTGTCATAGACCTGGCTAGTATTTTCACCTTGATGCCTCCTGGGACCCCAGGGCTAATTATTTCCATTTAATTGCCTGATTCTTTATGCAAAACCAGAGCTTTGTGACTTGTCTAAAATCAAGCTCATGGTAGACTCCTTTCCAAGTTTATATTTCCCTAATCTGGCTTTATATTTAATTTAAAATATTCTTTATTTCTGCAAACAAGAAGCAGTTCACATGACAAATATTGGGGTGAATCTCCCTTGATTTGTGTGAAATGGATAAGAATGAGAATGTATTTGCTTCCTCATCTCTGTCTTGAATAATATATGAGTTTGAATGAAATTGAAAGTAGGAAATGCCAAATATCACACTGAATGCATATCTTCTAAAGCCCTAAAGCCTTGAAAACTCTTTACTCAACTTCTTTATCAATCAATATCAGTAAAGTTATCGTTGTTATTTTACTTACAAGGAAAATGGAGAATTCTTGTTCTTTTATACACTGTGCTCTTTAAGTGTAACTTCGGTATAGAAATATAAATTGTTAAAGTTTCAAAGAGGTAAAATACACAGCGCAAGCAAGATTTGAAATTGTATTCGTTTTTATGAATATACTGCCAGGAAAAAAGGAATCAATCAAGATGAAAAAGATAATACATATTCTTTGTAAACTAGTATTACACAATTCTGTCTGTCCATCTGTCTATCTGTCCATCCATTCAGCCGTCTGTCGGTCTGTCCATCCATTCAGTCGTATGTCTGTCTGTCTATCTATACATCTGTCTATCTGTCCATCCATTCAGCCGTCTGTCGGTCTGTCCATCCATTCAGTCGTATGTCTGTCTGTCTATCTATACATCTGTCCGTCTGTCCATCCATTCAGCCGTCTGTCGGTCTGTCCATCCATTCAGTCTTATGTCTGTCTGTCTATTTATACATCTGTCTATCTGTCCATCCATTCAGCCGTCTGTCGGTCTGTCCATCCATTCAGTCGTATGTCTGTCTGTCTATCTATACATCTGTCCGTCTGTCCATCCATTCAGCCGTCTGTCAGTCTGTCTGTCTATGTCTGTCTGTCTGCCTTATCTATCTACATACATACTGGGGATCTGCCTGCAATAATTGTTGATACCACAAATATTACACATTTGTTTTCTTAAATATGATGTTTATGAAAATACTGATATTTACTATATTAATGATATATAAGACATAATATGAGTTTTCAGTTACTGCTTATGATAATAAGAATAATAAGAATAATGATAATAAAAACAAATAGGACACATTACTAGGATGTATTTTATTGTGACACTACACTGCTCAAACCCAAAATAATTCATAGCGGATATACCCCAATGAAAACTTGCATGCATTTAATTATGTATTTTTTCATTGGAGGTATAGCTAAAAACCGCTTGCAAAAAGTTCAGTTCTCTTGTCTGCAGCCTTTGCAAGCCCTCCCCTTCTAACCCCGCCCAGACTTTCTGTGGCTGTCCAATCACAGAATTCCCAATGCAGCTCAATGAGAAGTTGTAGCAAGGCAGGTGCTCTGGGCAAATGCATCCTGTTGAGTTTAGCTCCACTGAGCTTAACAACCAGCAAGTAACAGGACATGTTGTCTGATTGACAATCCAGCCAGTGGATTAACAAGGTTAATTTATAAAAAGTGTAATTTTTATTGAAATCTGCTCTTTTTAAAAAATCAAAAAAAGAGGACACGCTCTTCATACAAAAAGCTTTTATTTTATTAGCTGAAGTGCTTTAGGGGTCAGCTCACTCTTTAATCAAGAAATGCTTTCGATTTTAAATTTTAACCTGACATAAACAATAAATATTTTTTTCATGAACTACAAGATAACTAAAACAGGAAAGCTGGAATAGTTAAAGGTAATACAATTAAGGAAACAAAGAAACATGCAAAATGAATAATTGAAAGTCTAAGTTTACCTTCGATTATGTACAATAGTGATGTCCCGAACGGTTCGCCACACGGTTCGCGAACGGTTCGCCTCAAACGGTTCGCCACGGACTCATAATTGAGTAAACTTTGACCCTGTACCTCACAGTCAGCAGACACATTCCAGCCAATCAGCAGCAGACCCTCCCTCCCAGACCCTCCCTCCTCCTGGACAGCTCACTAAGAATGCAGCATCACAATGAATGTAAAATGGATGCTGTCCAGGAGGTGGGAGGGTCTGGTAGGGAGGGTCTGCTGCTGATTGGCTGGAATGTGTCTGCTGACTGGGTACAGGGTCAAAGATTACTCAATGATGAGTCCGCAGCGAACCTTTCGTGGCGAACCGTTCGCGAACCGTTCGGCGAACCGTTCGGCTAACCGTTCGGGACATCACTAATGTACAACTGATCAGCGTGATAGCTATCATATAGACTGCTTGTAAACCTGCTATCCCACACACCACGGATGAAGTCTAATGTTGGAAACATATAGATGGACTCTGCACAGGATATGCTGCATTCATAACACAACACTTTTACGGGTCGAGCGAAAACACTATTTGCTATGTAATTTGATACATAAAAAATTAGTTGTAGAATCCAATAAAAATAGGCTTCTCATCACAAAGAGGAGGAAAAAATGTAAATTAAAAAAGTGTGTATCTTATAGAAAATCTAATAATCTCTAATGGTGACAGGGCAGGTGTTTGTTAACTGCATTCCCCAGAGCTCAGCCAATATAAAGGTCAGTGTCTCAGCATTGACGCTACCTATCATTACTAACATGTAAGCATTGTTTAATCCATGTAGTGTCTTAACGCTGCAGAAATGATGGATATTTTTTCTATTTTTACATGTCAGCATTTTCTGTTTTGGAAAAACCGTTACCTTTGTCTTATTTAAAATAGATAAAAACTTTACCCATCAGCTATCATTAGATCTTATTGATTGAGCTAATAATATTTTTGTTTACACATCAAAGTTGACTTTTTTATTGACCTGTAATCAAGTTAAACTTTCCACAATTATAGAGAAATGAAATGCATTTTCATAGAGAGTAAAGGAGGTTAAATCTTAATGGACCCTGGGGTGATTAGCTTAAACAAGCAGCCACAATCAATGGATTGTGACGGTAAAGGATCGAGTTTACTGTAAGTAGAACACAGTCGATGTTTACATCTAAGCAATAAAGAAACACAGTTTTCAGATTTCAATAAACATTATCACATGGTTAGTTATCGGCATGCTGTGTCAACAAAACATGTACATGCTTTATGCTAATCCATTTAAAGGTAAACTTTAATGAAATAAGAGAGGATCATATATAACATATATTAATATTTAGTGTTAATAAAACATTACATTGTTATCCCATTCTCTTGTTTCTCTATTGTTTCAGTGAGTGAGGATCAGTGTCCTCCTCTAAGCAGTGTCTATCTGCGTGCTGACACTGATTTAAACAGTTAGACAGGCAGACTGCACCTCACACTGGAGGGAACACAGCAGCTCCCACTGGAGGGAACACAACAGCTCACACTGGAGGGAACACAGCAGCTCACACTGGAGGGAACACAACAGCTCACACTGGAGGGAACACAGCAGCTCATACCGGGGAGAACACAGCAGCTCACACCGGGGGGATCACAGCAGCTCACACTGGGGGGATCACAGCAGCTCACACTGGAGGGAACACAGCAGCTCACACTATACGGAACACAGCAGCTCACACTGGAGGGAACACAGCAGCTCACACTGGGGGGAACACAGCAGCTCACACTGGGGGGAACACAGCAGCTCACACTGGGGGGTACACAGCAGCTCACACCGGAGAGAACACAGCAGCTCACACTCACACTGGGGAAACACAGGAGAACACAGCTCACACTGAGAGAACACTGCCCACACTGGGGAAACACAGCATCCTCACACTAGAGGGAACACAGCAACTCACACTGGAGGGAACACAGCAACTCACACTGGGGAACACAGCATCTCACACCGGGGAACACAGCAGCTCACAGTGGGGGAACAAAGCAGCTCACACTATACGAACACAGCAGCTCACACACACTGGAGGGAACACAGCAGCTCATACCGGGGAGAACACAGCAGCTCACACCGGGGGGAACACAGCAGCTCACACTGGGGGGATCACAGCAGCTCACACTGGAGGGAACACAGCAGCTCACACTATACGGAACACAGCAGCTCACACTGGAGGGAACATAGCAACTCACACTGGAGAGAACACAGCAGCTCACACTGGGGGAAACACAGCATCTCACACTAGAGGGAACACAGCAACTCACACTGGAGGGAACACAGCAACTCACACTGGGGGGAACACAGCATCTCACACTGGAGGGAACACAGCAGCTCACACCGGGGGGAACACAGCAGCTCACAGTGGGGGAACACAGCAGCTCACACTATACGGAACACAGCAGCTCACACTGGAGGGAACACAGCAGCTCACACCGGGGAGAACATAGCAGCTCACACCGGGGGGATCACAGCAGCTCACACTGGGAGGATCACAGCAGCTCACACTGGAGGGAACACAGCAGCTCACACTAGACGGAACACAGCAGCTCACACTGGAGGGAACATAGCAGCTCACACTGGGGGGAACACAGCAGCTCACACTGGGGGGAACACAGCAACTCACACTGGAGAGAACACAGCAGCTCACACTGGGGGAAACACAGCATCTCACACTGGGGGGAACACAGCAACTCACACTGGAGGGAACACAGCAACTCACACTGGGGGGAACACAGCATCTCACACTGGAGGGAACACAGCAGCTCACACTATACGGAACACAGCAGCTCACACTGGGGGAGCACAGCAGCTCACACTATACGGAACACAGCAGCTCACACTGGGGGGAACACATCAGCTCACACTGGTTGGAACACAGCGGCTTACACTGTGGGGAACACAGCAGCTCCCACTGGATAGATCACATCAGCTCACACTGGAGGGAACACAGAAACTCACACTGGGGAGAACACAGCAGCTCACACTGGGGGGAACACAGCAGCTCACACTGGAGGGAACACAGAAGCTCACACTGGGGAGAACACAGCAGCTCACACTGGGGGGAACACAGCAGCTCACACTGGAGGGAACACAGCAGCTCACACTGGGGGGAACACAGCAGCTCACAGTGGGGGAACACAGCAGCTCACACTATACGGAACACAGCAGCTCACACCGGGGGGAACACATCAGCTCACACTGGATGGAACACAGCAGCTCACACCAGGGGGAACACATCAGCTCACACTGGATGGAACACAGCAGCTCACACTGGGGGGAACACATCAGCTCACACTGAATGGAACACAGCAGCTCACACTGGGGCGAACACAGCAGCTCACACTGGGGGGAACACAGCAGCTCACACTGGGGGGAACACAGTAGCACACAGTGGAGGAGGGCAACTAACCAAAACAACAATATATTTTACATTAAAAGGGTATGGACATCATAATGTAACTGATGTCTGTAGAATACTCAGGGAATACAGCAGCTCACACTGGATATAACACATCACTCACACTGGGGGGAAAAAAGCAGCTCACACTGTAGGAGACACAGCGGCTCACACTGTAGGAGACACAGGAGCTCACACTGGATGGAACACAGCAGCTCACACTGGGAGCAACACATCAGCTCACACTGGGGGGAACACAGCAGCTCACACTGTAGGAGACATAGGAGCTCACGCTGGACGGAACACAGCAGCTCACACTGGAGGGAACACAGCAGCTCACACTGGGGTGAACACAGCAGCTCACATTGGGGAAATACAGGAGCTCAAACTGGAGAGAACACAGCAGCTCACACTGGATGGAACACAGCAGCTCACAGTGGGGGAACACTGCAGCTCACACTGGAGGGAACACAGCAGCTCACACTGGGGGGAACACAGCAGGTCACATTGGGGAAATACAGGAGCTCAAACTGGAGAGAACACAGCAGATGGAACACAGCAGCTCACAGTGGGGGAACATGCAGCTCACACTGGAGGCTCACAGTGGAGGAGACACAGCATTCACAGAACACAGCAGCAGACTGGACAGAGGATAATTAATGGCACCCTCTACTCACCAATATATCTAATGCATTTCACAGAATCTGAATAAATATCTTTATTTGTTGCTACTGTCTTTAATTTATTACACAATATCCCTCCCCATTTTAAAACACTTACCGTAACGCATTACATGATGTCATAGTTCCATATTACATGATGTCATAGTTCCATAAGCCCACATGTTCTTCCAGTGTATCTTTAATGGTACAGTTGCTTTCTGAGAGTTGTAGTTCAATACCAAACTAGTTTTCAACATTTAAAATAATCTTAAGATAAATATTTATTTGAGACACGAGATGCATAACTAGCACACTATTTTTATTTTTCATTTATTTATCCTTTATGGAAAAAGTTTGGAAATAAATAATATACAGTATTAAAGACACAATTTACTAGTAAATAGCACACACGTGACTCATTGACTCTATTATATTCACTGCTCATTATCCACACTGTATTGTATAGTGTATTACACATTCTCTTAAATTGTCACTTCTCTAAAGTATTGATTAAGTGAGTAATCTTGATGATGACACATTATAACAATTTGCTATAAATTAATATATTTCACATTATATTATATTCCTGCACAACATATCCTGTAAATTCTCAATGTAGTCAGTAATCCTAATTAGGATGAATTATAATCATTTATAACTTTTTTTAATGAATGTCACAGAATATTATAATCATATACAATATACTGTTTAATGTACAGTATATCACACCATATTTCATTGTAAGAAAGTACTAGAATTTTTTAAAATATTTTACTATCACCTTGATTTAATGATTTTGGATAAGTTTTTAAAATTATTTCATAGTTTTGAAAAAACTAAAATTATTATTTGTTAAAAAAAACACACATATCAATATATCAAAAAAAAATCAACATTTTATAATAAAATATTTTCAAAATATCAAATCATTTGAAAAGCATATTAAGTTGAGGCATATATTAGGATTTTTTCACAAGACTTAAAGTTATCATGAATTTTATAGCAATTAAGATGGAAAATAACTGTTCTGTAGCAATGTTCCATTTGATCTATTTACACAATAAAAATTTTGTACATATAGTTTAATCTACATCACACTTAACTGCATACATATATACTTAGAATTGCTAAATTCACGTTTCTAAATTACAATTTAAGAAGTTACTATACATTTTATGTTCCACTTCTTTAAAAATTTAATAATAAACTATTTTATCATTTTAATATATGACGCACCGTATAATAGTACATATGTACAACAAACGTGGGATTATAGCTGGATCCTAAAAAATGTAAAAAGACAACCATAGGGTAACAAGGTTACAATGTAATCCACTGCTTTGACATGAGTTTCACTCACAGGATAGTTGGATAAATGTTCTTGAAAGGAGCCCTCCTCAATGTTCCCTGGGGGCTATCATTACTCCATTTGTCTTTCCTGCAGTTTCTCTAGAATTCCTAAGTTTGTTGGGGTACAAAAAGATTTATTTTGGGATACTCCCTGAGATGAAGCACATATGTGTAACAGCCCACACAACACCTACATGCCTGACAAAAGTCTCATCACCAACGACTAAATCCATTTTGCCAAACAGACTTTGACTATACTAGCACAGTGGCATTTGACACAGTTACACATACAACATGCACATACTTATAAGCCTAGAGGGGTACTCCAACATTCTTCCTTTGATTTTTGAAATTTTTGAAATTTGACAACTTCATGTTTGATACGCACGAAAGCTGAGCATACATCTTTTTTAGTAACGTTACACACCAGTTTTTCACGATAACGGACACAATGCTTGGAGATCCTGCGTGGTCCAGTTCAACATTAATTCGCAAGAGACCCGCGGGTCTCCGTTTAACTTTACTCAAAAAGGTTTATTAGTGGAATAGCCATATATTATTGAAAGGGCACTTATGTCTTAGGAAAAATTCAGAAGCACTATGAAAACGTACTGTTTCCCAATTTGTCTGCGAAGTTTATGCACCATACCCTGTGAGGGAAAACTGTTTTGTGTTGTTTGATGACCCTAATAAAATCAGATTTACAACAAAAAGATTTATTTTTAAAATAACATAGTACAAAAACTATTGGTCCTGTGCATTCCGTCTCCAGCCTTGCAAGACTTCCTCAGGGACCTTATAAATCATATCATTAAAAACAAAGAAAATTCAATAAATCTTATATTCAGATTCATTGTATTTTACTTTTATTTTAATGGCAAACATAGTAAATACAATAAATCCGATAGTCATTTAATGTCATTCATATGGTCCCTGAGGAAGTCTAACAAGACTAGAGAGGATTACATTGAAACATTGTTGTGCTATGGCTGTATTTCCTATTTCTCTTTAAGATCTAGCGGAAACCCCACATTTGTTGAACGTATGTATTTAGAAGAGGGTTTTTGACTTTGGCACGGGGCTTGTATAGGCAAGTCAAACGTTAAGTACATTTACTGGTGGCTTTTTGTTTATACACACTGTATATATTGTCACCATCTTTAGTGCGTGTAAACATATAACACTGTTAATATAGGAGGAGTTAATATAGGAGTTAATATATGCATTGAGGTAGACTCCACATTTCTGTGGGTTTTTAGATTTAAATCGCTCTGCAGCTGCTTTTAGCCGAGGGTTCTGGGTCTTTCTCAGATATAGGTTTATCTAGCTCTTGATAGGCAGTTCATTACTAATCCAGTTGAAGCACAGCATACCTGAGCGATACTGGATACTACGAGCATGATAAGCACACAGTTGTTCAGTTGTCAAATATGATAAGCATTCAGTTGCTCTATCCATTCTAGTGGGCTCCTTTTCGCAGGGACTCTTCCAGCACAGTACTGAATAATCTATCCTTTTACCCAGTGCACTATCTATCTAAAGAGTCCATTTAGGGATCTGCAGTAGTATACTGGATGCTATCCCTTATCTGCCAATGAAGCCTAGAACCTGTTTTTTGGGGGGTTATCTACTAAATATCTACTTCAGATTTGATATACTTTACACTATATAGGTTTATTCAAGCCAGTTTTGTTTTTTACTCTTTGATACGTATGCCCTGAATTTTATCAGGGTAGAACTGTGCGCTCCGTTACCTACATTTAGGTACTGTCAGAGACTATCATAACAGGGGAGAAGCAATCTAATCTTTTATGTTATCCACTGTCAGGTTTCCCGATAATCATTCTATTTTATCTGGGGTCTGCTGTGGACTTTCCAGATACTCTCTGACAAGCCAGACACCTATTTGATCCTGCTGTACTTAGAGCCACACAGACACATTTACATTACTTTGAGCTTGACTAGTTATAAGAAATACCCATTCTGTTGCCACTTGGCCAGTACGACTAGGGTTACCTTATTGCATATACCTATGTATATACTGTATATCTCCCCTTAGATACTGTTTCCACTTTATCAGTATCACTATCTGGCTATTTTGTAATTAGTACACTTTGTACACTTTAGCTCCAGCAGTTGGTCCTATTTTTATACTTACTATCATCTCCTTTTTTTCATTATTATTATTTTTTCACTTTTTTTTTGGTGTCTGGGATATTTAGATGTGTTTATCCAATATTGGACAATAACGTTTTTTATTTTCTATACTTATGTAAATTAGGCACTGTATGCCAATTACCTTTACTCAGTAATTTCCATTAGGGTACTAGGACTGGAACCAGGTGTGCCTCCTTGCAGACCTGTTTTCAAGTCCTCTCTATTAACACTATTAACATATTATACACAATATGTTACATAATAAAAATATACCATATATTTTAATGTACATCATGTTATAATAAATTAGCATATATTACTTTCTCTACCAGAAACATGTATATTTGTGCTAATGTTTGATTTGCTTACAAACAAAAATACAAGATAAGACATTCCTGATGAAGTCCCACAGTTATTTTTATCTTAGTGTTATGTTTCACCATGCAGAGATGATAAATGGTGATCATTCTCTTGTTTGTACTGTACAGCCAGTCTGAGAAGAGGGGGGAGGGAGTCTCTCAATACATTTATCTCATTACAGAGGGTCTTTCCAGCTTAAAATGTCACGAGAAATGTGCTCAGTTATACAGGAGGTTAATATAACTGTACATATTTTGTATGTGCATTATGTCTGCATAAATACATTATTTTATGTAGCATTATGTTTCATCATTCTCTGGTGGCCTTTATAGGAAGCAGAATTCCTAAGCAGATAGCCAGAAACTAGATGCCTGACTATTTTTATTAATCTGTTATTGTCACATCTGTTTTACTTTCTAAAATTGCATTTCTATTTTTTTTAGCTAATGTTTCATACATCGTCAAAATTATTGCAAGATAATGGAATATGCGTAATTATTGTTTTATATAAATGTATACAATTTAAAAAATATAATTGAGTTTTGAAAAGTATAAAATTGAACATATATGTGAGTGAAAAAACAAATATAAGCCAAGCAGAACAGAGAAAAAATAATAATGAAAATAGCAAGCCTTGCAGAGGAATGATAAATTAGAAGATTTGTTTTTATGTTTTAAACTTTTATATGTAATTTTCATTTAAATTCATTTCCATGCATTTTTTTCCTAGCACTATAGTTCCCTATAGTGCCCCACTCCCTCATACCCCCTTCCCCCGTGGGGCAGAATGGGTTTAAAATTTTTTTTCTGTCTCTTACCTCATTCCAGCACCGATATCACTCGGTGCTGGTTCAGGCTCTGCCTCTGCTCATCCTCTGCCAATGTCAGCCAATGGGGATATGGGTGATGCTAAATGTCCTCATGTGTAGCGTGAGGACATCCAGCATCAGTTAGGCAACAAAACGATGCCTAACCACCTGGAGGTCCCTCTAGTGGCTGTCTGGTAGGCAGCCACTAGAGGTGGAGTTAACCCTGGAATGCAATTATTGCAATTTATCAAAAACTGCAATAATTACCACTGCAGGGTTAAGGGACAGTGGACACTGCACCCAGACCACTTCAATGAGCTAA